CGTACGACTTGAAATGTCATACGTGTAGTATTTTTCCTGATCTTTCTGATTCTGATAAAAGTTTCCGAAAAATCCGATCCAGAAGGTCAAAATTTTGACATCTGAAGAGAAAATGAGTTTTCCAAGTCCGGATCTGGAATTTTTTATTCATAGTACGTCATCTTGTGGAGTGTCAGTAGAGGTAAGTTGCTAGTGAATTTCAGCCGATAACATCGAGACGTTCCTGAAATATCGTTCATTGAAGTTTTGCCCCGAATTCGAATAATGCCCTGTATTTCTGTAAAGAATCGGCAAAAAATATTTTATAATATATATATCAACTCACCCTGACCTCCTCTATCCGCCATTGGGCTATGGCTGGTTAGTCATGACTCACCCTGTATTTCATGATTATAAAGGGCTGTTCATTGTTCTTGCTCTACCTGCTGAACTCGATTTTTTTCTATGACAACTATGGGGAAAATCAACTTTAGCAAGTTCAGCAATACAAACTACAGGCCTCATATAACATTCCTATGTTTTTATATTTATTGTTTTTTTGCCTATATCATTCATGATAATCGTTACAAAAAATTATATAACATTTGTAAATATACAAAATCTATATCGTTCCCGTTCAGGCAAATTTCATAGCCCAAATCAATACACTGATAGGATTTTGATGAAGCTGTTTTTATTGTGCATATGACGAACAATAGGAACAAGTAAACTTGAATTGTTTTGTAAGGAACCTGTTGAATGGTAGTATATTTGAACTCTGTGATATGTCTGAACTGGCACAATTGAAATTTTATAACTATATTAAATGTTCTTGAATAAAATATATTTTTCTTTAATTGATAATAGTAATAGTTGTTGAAATTTAAAAAAATGGCTGCTCTAAGATGGCGGACAAGATTTGGTCCGATTCCATTCAAAAATGGTGAGTGGGGGTTTTTGAGGTCGTAGATCATGATTTTTTTGTTGAAATTTATAAATTGAAGATGGCGGCTTCCAAATAATTATTCGTTTTTGTATAAATGACGATAGGTAACTCCGTTGTTATCAACACAAAACTATTACTGCGACATATCATCTGTGAGAGAAAAAGAAGTTATTTGTAACTAAGTCATAGTGAGCTTTGACCTACTTTTGAAAAATTAAAGTTGGTGCTGATATCTCAAATTCTAGAAGAGTTGGTATAAATCTCATATCTTTTTCGAAATCACTTTGAAAAACTGCCATGAGAATGTGAAATTTCTATTTGAATATTTTCATAAATAAAGAAGTTACGGACGAGGAGACATGAAAATGATCAAAATCTGTTTTTTGCGTGTAAAACAAAAACGAATAGATTTTATCAAAATAATTTTTCACATTATAGTTGGCCTTGACAATCTCCACATTTGGTGTCATTTAACCGACCTCGTATCTCTCACCGTTAAAAAGATACCCATGGTGAGCATGGTAAGTGGGACACACTGTATACTACACTGTTGATGGCTTTTGTTGTGCTAATTCGGAAAAATGAGCCAATAACACTATCTCCGAGAATGACCTGCAAGTCCATTTATTTTTCATTCCACTTCGCGGGTGCTTTAATTACTAAACAACCACTAAGTTTGCAATTTTTCAAAATGAATACTGACAGTTATATTTGATTATTTCAAAAGAATGATAAAGATGCCTGCAAGAAGATATGCCTGCAATGCAGGTGTAATCCATATTAAAAACTTCAAATTTCGCGTTGATAATTTTCTGATTATAATATAATGTCATATCTTCTCTATATTGATTCGTTCTTTTTCCTGTCACAGAAAAAAAATTGTGTATTACACACGGGAAAAATAATTAGATTTTAGCTCACGGTTTTTGTTTCCCTCAGCTGCTCTACGCGTCGGAAGACAACAAATATCAACTACTTTTTTCCATAGGTATATAAAAAATAACTATTTTTCTACAAGCGTCAAAAAATGACAAGGTTCGCGCATTGATAACAATATGCGAAGTAATGGGCGAAGTAGATACTTCGCGCATTGTTATAAACTTATTGGTATGAGATTTTTGTATTAAACCATATGTATGTTCAACAATAATTAAGGCCTTTCAAGCCAGTTCAACACTATTCTTGATATCAAGCATATTATATTTACTACTTTCAGAACTATGTTTTTTGACGTTTGTAGAAAAAACGTGATTGTTTGCAAGTCGTGCGCGCAATACTTTGGTCTCTGGACCATTTTTTCAAACTCGGCTGCGCCTCGTTAAAAAAAACCGTTCTCGAGCACCAAAGTAGCATTTTCGCGCACTAGATACAAAAATAACAATTTTCTATTCCAAGAAATAAATCGAAAAGAATAAAACTGAATATGAGAAAAATGCAGACTGTAAATTTTTGTTAACGAAATAGGTATTCGAAACTAGAGATTTGTGATAGCTCATAGCTTCTGCTAAAGTAAATGAAAAATCCTGGTTTATATTCAGAAAAATAATATGATGATGGTTTCCGGAATAAGACAAAACGTCGGATTTCCAAATCTGGAAACACCAACTTATTTGTAAGGAAGAAAAAGTGGGCATGATAAAAAGTGTTTCAATTTTTAATTAATGTCTTCAAGAAACTTGAAGAAATAATAAAAAATAAAGGTTTTAGTAAATTTCGTATTTTTTCGGATAACTCCGAGACTATTCGGAGTCTTCCAAGTCTTGAAACGTCATTTTATTATGCATAAAATTGCGAACTGTGCCATAATTTAACCGACCCTATCTGTCTCTTACGCTTTAGGAGATTCTGATGATATGAGGCTCTAATTCCAGTCACTCTGCGCATTCTGTACATATACATTATGGATTGTTCAGCGTCAGTGTACATTATTGTATGTACGCTGGATTGATCGTTATCGTTTCTCTCTGGAAACAAAATTGTTTGGAATGTAGCTACTTATTGTTTTTATGCAAAATGTAACATTCACAGCAATAAATACGAATTTCATGAAATGTAGCTATACTGATTTAGAGCTTAATATCTCTTCACACTACAGCAAAAAATAACGAAACCAATCATTCCAGCTACATAATGTTGTAATTTAGTAGTTCATCTAAGGTTGAGCACCGTCGTTTAACGAAATATGTGATCCAAAACATCAGCGTCTTCCACAAATAGACGGTTTTCATAAGCAGATTACTCTAGAGAGCGGTTGGGATTTAAAAAATGTAGGAATTTTTTTATCAGCTTTCACAAGGTATCATTCCTTAAAAAGGAATATTCTCAGATAAATTATGAACATACAAAAATGGATATATATTTATATAAAGCAATACATTGAGAACTCGCATTCTCTATGTGATGAGAATATATCTACTCTTCCAGTTTATTCAATAGAAAACAACTACTTTCCTGGCTATATGCCAGGACGAACATTGAATAATTATATATCTATTGAACACACATGATAAGAGTTTGAAAATAAAATATAAAATCTTCTAAAATTGCTTTATATAAATATATATATCCATTTTTGTATGTTCGTAAAATTTATCTGAGAATATTCCTTTTCAACACTTTCATACCCAATCAGGGGGTTCAAACTTGAACGATGGAAACTTATGATTTTTATAGACTTCTAATCACAGATTCGTGATGGGAGTCTCAATTCAGAATTTCTTTCCACGCCCTGTATGATGAATGTCAATTTATCATACACCCAAAAAAGGATGGACAGATCCTTACCCAAAAGTATCATTCCTATTTTCTTCTGTTTTGCCTTTTGCCAATAGTTTCAGAGTCAGAAGTGAGAAACCAAACTGGATATTAACCTCCTAGAGTTGAGGACTTTTAGGATGTTGGGATGTTGCCCCCCCCCCCCTTAACAACCTCAAAAAAATTCAGCGCCGGGCTACAGTAGGCAGTTGAGACTTTCTCTGATGGATTTGATTTCCTTTAATCCTGACTCAGAAATTTATTTCAACGGAAACATGGAAAATGCATGAATAATGGTTGTGCTATGTGCATCCCATTTTGATTGAGACCACTATAGGTTTCTCGGTTCTGCTCGGTTATTCTTAAAGATATAGAACCTTGAGGTGGTCACGTTCCTGTCACTGGAAAACTCAAGATATGGTCTTGCCATATACCAGATTTTGCATAACTTTTTCGCCGTTTATGAGATACAGGATGATTTTGAAAATATGAAAATATATAATTTTTGGACCCCTTCCAGATCTATGAAATTATTTTTAGAAATATAAAACGTTGGTACCTGAAAACAACATAAATTACAATACAATAATTCATAATACATGATAATACATAGGTTTGTATTATCTTTGGTATAGGAAATAGAAGAAGTAGGTACCTGATGATCAATAGAATTCATAATGAATCATATAATAGATAACTCTTCAAGTACCTAAAACTTGGAAATCTCCAAAACCATGTCTTGCAAAAAAAAATTGAGCATACCCTGGATTCTGTGCACAGTTCTTGGTTCTTGGAACATTATTTCAGATAACTTCCTAGATAAAAAAACGATCAAAAAAGTGGAATATTTCAAAGTCACCTTATATCTCACATAGATGAAACACACTCTATCTCATAAACAGAAATATTTAGGTATGGCATGGGCATAGATTAACAAACCTTATTTGTTTAATAAATCTGTGGCATGGGTATATTGCCATCTTAAATGTCAGTAGGACTAGAAGGTGCTATCTTTAAAAGACCTTGCTTATTAGAGAAAAATGAAGAAACCAAGCAGTTTCAACAATAATGGGATGTAAGTACTGTACTTCCTTTGGTGTAGGATCATACCTCAATATTTGTTCAAAATGACATGGGTTTGAAACGTTTGAACCATGATGGTTGAATCTTAATTTTTTATTGCTGGGTATTACAGTAATCTTAGTCAAGGGACTGAAGGTACATACAATTCTCAAATTCCCCTTTCAATGTGAGATGCTTTGTCAAAGGATTTGTGCTAGGAGGAACTGTTGATGTTGATTCATGGAAAAGAAACTTCACATTACATACAGAAACTTCTATTGTAACAACCTATTTGCAAGCTAAACATGAAAAATATGTTCAATCATTATTATTTTGTACTATTTTAGTTTACTGAAAAGGTCTTTAGTAACACAGTGATCTACTGCATGTAACAAATCGAATAGTTCTTCTAGGCACGTTTCAGTAGTACGTGATCGAGAATTGACCCTATCATTACAAACTTGATATTTTTCTGCCAAATGTTTGCAATGCTCAGTTTCTCTGCATTCGTCCTGAAAATTATAGGTTCATGATAATATCATTACCTTTTCCAATAATTAAAATACAATACCCTCAATATTTGCTGAGGATCTTGTAATTCCTCTTCTTCCTCTTCCTGGGCTTTCACTGAAGGCAATTTCCGCAGGAATTTCTCAAAAAACATTTTCAAATTTCTGTAATCACAATCAGGTACTTAATTCTTACTTTATTTACGTAATCGAAATTCGAAATGTGTGAAGTGTGAAAACTAAAATTAGCTGCTACTAGGGTTTACTGTACTAGTGTACTGTCAAAAGAGTCAAAGGTGCCAAAATAACATCTGAGCGTTGTGAAATTGGCAACTGAAGTTAGCAGTCAGCACAAGTTTACGGAATTCCGACTTGTAACTCGGAATTTCGACTTGTTACTCATAGCGTTTTCCACTCGTCGCACTAGCTCGAACTTTTTCGGCACTGAGTGCGTTTTGCGTGGTCCACTGAGAATTTCAAGAGCGAACTTTTGTCGAGAAATGATTTCCTCTGGCTTTCAAACTTGCTCGATGCCCGCTCAGAATTCGAGTTTTCAGAACTGTGCTTGTAAGACGGTGCGATACACATAACCTCAAATATTCGAGTAACGAGTGGAAAAATGTTTGGAATTTGAATAATTATGTAGTAGTTTGTTACTATTATCACAATAATTTCCGAAATCATAGATACTTCGGATACAAGCGACGGTAAAGAAATGATGATTGAGATACAGAAGTACTTCGTTACGAAACAGCGTTTACGGAAAATTCAAAATTCAAAAGCTATCCAGATGTGCAGGTATTGAACATATTTTATTGTTGATTCAGCAATGATGAAAAATACTATTGTCGAATGATTCAATTGAACATCATTGACAATGAACATTCATAATAATATGTTTCTGACTGATTTCATCAATGCAGTGTACACAGGGAAACCACAATAAGAGGTAGATGAATTCATTTCATGTGGACCAACGGAACCAAATGTACTTTCAATAATTCAACTTTTTGATTGACAAAACAATTATTCTGACATTTCTGATGACAAGAAGGTCGCACCAACTCTCTATTTCTATTCCACTGCTCTGTGCTGGAACCGCACTTTATGGAAGAACCAGAAGAACCGAGCCAGTGCCACTTGCTCTGTGCTAGTGCGCTCTGTAAATCGGCGAGTGGAAAACGCTATCTCTTCTAGAACTAGCTCTACTAATGCCCGGTTATTCATTTCTCAATAATCAGCAATCAAATTATCTTTCCACATTCACCACTCTGTCTGCCACTTATTTCTATGTTATTTTTTATGTTTTCTCCACGTAACGACAAAAAAATGCATCCAAAGACACCTCAGCCGATGTCGTCTACAAACGATAAGTTTTGTCGTACAGGTACGACAATCGTTAGCTACAGAATAACAAATATCGTTGCGTAACGATTATCGTTCGCTAACAATGTCGTTGAGCGTTACAGAATAGCCCCCTTTACTGTCAGTTGAATTCGGAATATAGCCAAATACGTCGATTTACAGCAAGGGACCCTACGTAAGAGGGCTCATCTCTTTTGATAACTTGAGGATTTCAAATTCATTCATTCATTCAAATATTCTACATCATTTTTTCTCGAATATTTTCGATAAAACAGGCCATAGCTTTCAGGGCTATCCTGCAAAACTTTGGGATTTTTTACTTTGACATCGACCTCATGTTTCTGTTGGTGAGAGCAAGGTGAGAGCAGTGAAAGTGAAAATGTCCCTCATTACAATTAATTTCAATCACCTGACAATCACCGCATTTAATTCCTGTCAGAATGAAGCCAACACCTCTTCACCGTTCTGCCCCGAGACACCGATCACGGCACACATCTACTTTTTTCCTTTTTTTTTATCTTGACTTTGAAAAGCATAATATTATGACAATCGAATTGTCATTTCTCACTTTCTGTGGTTTCGGGTTTCTGAGTTCTGACTGATTCTGACTTTGACAATACATACATTATTTTTATTTTGATGTTGATGATGATCTGATGAGATCTTTTATTAATTTTTTTACTAATTTTCACAATTTTGTTCAACAAGGTGCTTGTGCTTGATTTGGAATTGACATAAATATTGATCTGTAAATATGATTAGAAGCCTGACCCTTGGCATGATGGCATGATAGAATTGGAAGTCCTGATTAATTATTTCCAGCAGGGACCAAACCAAGGACTCTATTATACAAGCCAAAGTTTTTCATTGAAATATCGAGAAGATGCCTGAAGTAGACATTGAATGGCCATGGCAATATAATTTTCCTCCATTTTTTACACTGCAGCCCCACCCAGAAACAAGGTCAAAGCAAGTGGCAGCATGGAAATCTCTAATTTTGGAATATTGTGAAAAAAACAAGATTTATGTTATAGATGTGAGAGAATCAAGTCAAGGACCTCTATTTTATAATTCCACAATAAATAGAAAGTTAGAACAAAGTGTAATTTTGTCTATTCTGAGTGAACTACAAAAAACTGATAATTCTGCACCAGTTGATAAACTCAATAATCGGTGGGAAATTTACTGGCATACACTGGAAGAATGGGCATCTATGATATATGATTATGTATTGGGTCAAGGTATTCAAAATAGTGTACTCACTTTGCATGAATTAGTACAAGGAGAGGATACTGCAGAAGAAATGTTTTTTGGGATGAATCAGGAAGTGCTCCTGAAAGTGTTGAGATTGTTAGAGAAAGATAGAAAATGTGAAGTTATATTAGAGGATGATGTTCAAGGTGTCAAATTCTTTTAATTATATATTATAAATATGTTCTGTGATTATGATGGGCAATTTATTTACAATGATTACCTATAATCTTCAAATTTCTGCTCAAGGGTTGATGACAATTGAATAGAGCAGTTCAGCTAGCATTGAGAGAGAAAAAGTGTTTTTCTACTACTGCTATGAAAAGTAGTGTATTTCTCATAGCTTACTTAGTTTCAAAACCATGTATCTCCATACATTTCCATGGAAAATCAACAAAGATCCACCAAAACTTAATTGGCTGGTGTTCAGCTCTGAATAGTTGTCACAACTGTCAGAAAAAGTGTTTTAAACTCTAGGGTAGTATTCTCATTAGTGCTTCTGATAGAAATCACAGTTTCCATCAAATATTATTCCAACAATTCATAATAAATAATATGATGTATATAACAAGATGTGATGATTTTGATAAATACACCACCAGAGTCAGAGATAATGGAAAAAGCTGCAAAAATTGGATTGGTTTCCGGAAATTTCAAGAAAAAAGTATGAATTGGCATATACAAAAAATTTATGGAATCTAAGAAAAATACAGAAATAAAATCTTTTTCTGAAAGTGTACCTTTTTGAAATACTTTCAGAAACTAGGAAAGGCGTCTTCTCTTTGGTCACAATATTCAATGTGGCATAGTGCTACATTATAAAATGCATACCAATAAGTTACATTACTTGGATTGGAGCAGTTGTAGAAAAAGTATAGTGTGCAACATGTGCGGAAAAGTACTTTTCTCACTGGTGTGTTTGCATCACTCGCCCTTCAGGTTCCTGTCACAAACTTTCACACTCGTGAGAAAAGTTGAAATTTCTCCACTTGTTACATAATATACTATTTCCTAGGACCACCTATGAAAACAGCATAAAACACCACTTTGTTATTTAGAAAGTAGCTCATGTCACCATAGTGATGCAGAAGTTGGAAAGTTCCAAAAGTGATTCTCAGGTGTGTTGAAATATTAAGGGTCATCTATCCAGTAAGCTTGTAACTGCTAATGTTAAGTTATTGTTAAATTAATGTTGAGCTAATGGTAGGTTAATGTTAAAGTAATGTAAAGGTAAGTTGAGTTATGGTCAAGTTAATGGAAAGTTAGTGTTGATTTAACATGAGTTATTGTAGTTAATGTTGAGGTAATGTTAAGTTGATGAAAAGTTGAAATCAAGTCAATTTCAATTGAAAGTTGAATTAATGTCAATGTATTGGCAATTTAGTGTTTAATGTGGAGTTAATGTCAATTTGATATTGAGTTGATGTTAATTTGATTTTGAGGTAATGTTAAGTTAATTTTGAGATAATGTTGATTTAATGTTGAGTTAATGATAAATAATTATTGAGCTGATGTTGAGTCAATATGTTTGGTTAATTTTAAGTTAATGTTAAGTTGATGTTGAGTTAATGTTAAGTTAATTTCAAGTTAATGTTAAGTAACTGTTAAATTTATGTCAAGTTGATGTTAAGTGAATGTTGAGTTGATGTTAAGTCAATGTTGAGTGAATGTTAAGTTCATGTTAAGTCAATGTCAAGTTGATGTTGAATTAATGTTATAATTATTATTATTATTATAAGTTAACGTTGAACTAATGATGTCATTTAAATATTGAAGTAAAATTAAATAATAATGATATCACCTTCATGTGATCGAATATGATTAGAAACATGATCCCTATACTCTGGTCTTATAAACACTCATGACATATAATATAAAATATATATGTGGTCGTGGGAAAAATAGTGTACAAAACTCGTTGGAAAGTGCATTTCCCGCGCTCGTTTCGTTTCCACACTAGTTATGTAATATACTAATTCATTATACAAGGGAAAAAAGTACTCCATTTTAGCTTAGGTTGTGTTGTCTCTGGATGCATAGCAGAGGAAGACAAAAAACTAGGAGCTAAAATCTAATATTTTTCCTGTGTATATTACACTTTTTTTTTCTGTGACATATGATGGGATCGAATAACTTTCTAATGAATTGCACAACCAAAATACAGATAGTGCCGAAAGTTCGTGCATGTTTGGTGATCATTTTGGGTGCACTTAGAATAGTTGCAAGACAAACAGCATACAGGGTAGGTCAAAAAATATAAAAACTGCTCGGGAGTAAAGAACCCTCATTTCAGAAAATTCGGCAAAATGATATTGAGAAAAGTTATGCCTATATACCAAAATATTGCCTCCTATAAGACATTTCTTAGTTTTTCAATTTTTTTCGTTGATAATTTCCCAATTTGTATTTTTTTTTATATTCACTCTAAACACTTTTATAAGTTATGCATATCAAAATCAGTTGATCATAGCTCTGTTCAAATTCAAGTATATTTTTGCAATTAACTTGGATTTCAATTTTTTTAGGGAATCACAAACTTTATGTTTGTTCCAACGATATTCAGCTTAACTTTGAAATTTTGCAAACCATAATAGGTATGCGTATTCGAGAACTTTCATTTTGTATTTGAAATGTTCATGAAAAGATTTACAAATTGATCAACAACCATATCTTTTAAAATAATCACGGATACCCAAGGAACAAAACAAATGAAAGTTGACAGTAAACATTAAGGCAGTTTGGTGACATTTCTTATCCAATGATGTTTTACCTTTTTTTATTTTATCTTAAAATTAAGTTGAATATCGTTGCAACAAACAAAGTTTGTGATTCCCTAAAAAAAATAAAATCCAAGTTAACTGCACAAATATGCTTGAATTTGAACGAATGTATGCTCAACTGATTATGTTATGATTAATTTATGAAAGTGTTATTTAGGGTGAATATTGAAAAAAATACAAATTGGAGTTATTAACGAAAAAAATTGGAAAACTGAAATATGTCTCAGGAGGCCATGTTTTGGTATTTAGGCATAACTTCCAATTGTAAACAACTTTTCTCCATAACATTTTGCTGAATTTTCTGAAATAAGGGTACTTATTACTCTTGAGCAATATCTATATTTTTTGATCTACCCTATGCTGTTTGACTTGCAACCTTTCTAAGTGCACCTACAATGAATACCGAACGAACATGCACCAACTTTCGGCACTATCTGTATTTTGGTTGTGCAATTCATTAAAAAAATTCGATCCCATCATATGTGACATGCCGCACAAATTTTCGAAAAACTGGCAAAAGCAGTAAAAATTCGAAGAATAAAAATAAAATAAAATGAGGTAAAAGGTTTATACATAATGAAGTCAATAATATTTCTTCTATTTATAGGATTAATATGTAAACCTATAATGAAATTAATAAGGCAATGTGGGAAAACTGACCTTCTGTTGTAGTGAATTTATTTATAATGACAGAATGATTGAGTAATAAGTAATATTGACATCCCATCCTCTTGTCAAATAGCTATAGGTATGGTATAATCGTTTTTACTTATCACAGCACAAAATTAACACAGACAATATATCTACTATATTATACGAGCCCTTTCATTTGATGCCCATATTGTAGAAGTGCATTAAAAATAATTATTACGCCGTCCTGGATGGTCCGTCATATGGGATTTGAAATGACGTCACATTATTTTTCGAGTTACTCAATGTTCATTTATTGATACCCATATTATTGTAGAAGTGCATCAAAAATAACTATTCCGCCATCTCGGATGGTCCTCCATATTGGATTTAGAATAAATTCACACACCTTACCGTGCATTGTCATCCAAACTAAACGTGTATACAAAATTTCAGCTCAATCGGTTGAAGATATCTACTTCTAAATTGAGTTCGAAGATTCCACCCGAACTAATACATACATCCATACATTGCAAGTTCAATTAAAACTTTTATCTTTTGATAAAAACGTTCTGAGCGGAACTGAAGCAAGTCATCTTCGTTTGCTATATGGTTTGGGTCCATACTCCCCGAGGTTGAACCCAATTGAAACAGAATGATCCAAAATGAAGGATCATGTAAAAGTAAATATTCAGTACAAGTTGAAGAACCGGGTGTTGGAGAACAATGACACACCACCATTCACCATGCTGCAGCTCTGGCATTTTAAGACATGCCCGTTATTGATGGTGCGATATATTTTCACCTCTGAAAAAATTGGAAACATTTTCCTTCCAAACGGAAGACCTATAAAATTTTTGTAAAATTGCATAGCTTTGATTATCATCCTGTAAAATCTCATTCTGAAGATATGCGATGATCATTAGAATAAGTTCGATAGTTAATGAAATGAACATTCAGAAACTGAAAAGAAATTGAAAATTGATCGAGACAGTTGAAAGTTGTTGTGCGGTACTCAAATAAATACAACCAATTTGTAAATTTATACATTTACTGCACGTATATTTAGATATAATCATTACATGGTATATAAATGCCGGTAGGCAAGCAGGCATTTAGTGGCTTCCTGGAATCCATATCGGCCGACATCACATCCTGTGATGTCACATATGTCACATGAATCTAAATTAATCTAAAAGTTCGATTTCTCGTTTTGAGTGTTGAGCAGTTTAGTTGCGACAGCCCCGTCACTTAACAATGCAATGCACTTCATTAAAACTCTAGAAAACGTGGTGTTTTAATGCAATTGTATTACTTATATATCACAGACTTAAGTCAGTTGAACCAGTACAGTCTAAAAAATACACTTATTACTATACTTATTTTTTTATAATGAACATACATCTCGAACAGCTTTGTCTCATTCAGAGTAATAGTAGAGGGCCCGGATTGATCGGTTTTGAAAAAGTTGCCATGGAGAATTTGTTCATTGCACATTCGTCGAATATTGATTGAATTGACATATAGGTACTCTGTTGGAAGTTTTGTGTTACAGTGGCGAATCGGCAGTCGACCAATATTTTTTTGCTATGAAATCATTAATCCCAGCCCTTGGCAACACCACCGGATCTTAGTTCCGGATTTCTTCCTGTGATGGATATTCCTGAAATTCATCAGGTATTTTCTTCCAGTTCCTAAATATTTCTTGAACTCGAAGAGGGAATTTTCCCGAAATGTTAATTTTAAAAACAGATTGCAGCAATGCATAGAAGAAGGCGGTGATAA